TAAATAAATAAATAAATAAATAAATAAATAAATAAATAAATAAATAAATAAATAAATAAATAATTTTTTTAAATCATTAAATGACTCATAAAAACTTCAAAAAATGTTTTTATCAGTCATTTAATGGTTTAAAAAAATTTAAGAATTATTTTGTCTGAATAGCTTTGATACACTTCACTAGTTCGGATTGAAATTGTTTATCTTTCAATTTCTATTTTAATTGTGTAAATATTTGTTATTGCTAAATCAAGAAAATAAGGAATGTAGAAACATTTCTTTTTTAATTAAAAAGAATATTGTTACATAACAATATATCTGCGTACACATCCATAACATTGTTTTTAAATAAAAAAGAAATATTAACTATTTTAACCATCTTCTTGACTCTTCTAATTTATCATTTTCATTCTTTCCTTTTTTTTTTTTTTTTGATTCTTTAATTAAAATTGAAAGATAAACAATTTCAATTCAATCTTGATATTCAACAAAATGAAATAATGCAATTTACAAAAAGAGTTTAATTTTAAAAATTAAATGATTTAAAAATGATTTAAAAATGACTTTTAAAGTTTTTTAAACAATTAATGTAACAATTAATATAAAAAAACAATTAATGTAAAAATCATATTGAATTCGAAGATTAATTTGAAAGAAAAAAAAAATAAAAAAATTACATTCCCATTTATTTATTATCATTTGTACTTATTATCATTTTTATTAGTTCCATTACTATTTTGCAGAAATGAATTATTCAAAATTTAAAAAAGTTTTTCAAATTTATATTATGAGCAATTTATTTATACGAAAATAAAAAAATTAAGAATCTTATGTTTAATTTATATAGATTGAATTTTATACAATATAATATTGTGATTTTATATTATAAAATATTCAAATACTATAAAATAGTAAAGATAGAAAAATACTTTAAAATTATTTGAAATACTATTTCTTCATATTTTTATAATTATAATTTTATAATTATTTTTATAATATTTATTTATTTTATGAGTTTGTATAAATTGATCAATATACAAAATATTAATATAAAACATATTGAGGGAGACAATCTTAAAAATCAAATTGATGTTAAAATGTTGGTAAAAATTAAAGCTTTATTAAATTATAAACGATTGAAATTTGCGTTTCGATACAAATAATCGAGACGAAAATAGAGATACTTTATTTTTCAGATTAATTAGATTATCACCGATTCTTTAGCTTCATCTAATGTAAACTTTTATAATTTCTTATAAATAAATTAATAAATAAACTTCAATTCAGATTTTTATATATCAACCTTTATATTTATTTTGATCTCTAGATTCGATTCTTTAAAAGTATGAATAAATTAATATCTTGTATATTTGAAATATTTTTTTATTTAAATACTATTTCAATAAAAAATTTATTTCTAAAATGCTCAATACTTGAAGAATTAAAAATATTGTCTTATCTTTCTCACCACGCATATATTATGCATTTATTTTCATTTATCATCATCATCTTATTTCGATTCCTTCTAGTCGATCTAGTGATAAGTGTCAAATTCCCAAATAAAAACATCTCGATTGGCAAACTCGAAAAAGTCCCCCAGTTAAACTCGATGCAGTTTCCGGTTATAGATGCATTCCCGTCATTGGAGGATATCGATATCCTCGAAAGGGGGGAAAAACGGTTCGTTTCGTGGATTGGACAACTTGTGATTCGTTAAATTGCCAGGGAAGCAAAAACTGTGACGCGGTTGACGTTGGTCCGATGAGTTACCGAACATCGATAGCGAATTGGATTGATCAACGTGACGTGTCGAACGCGTGCTACTTACCAACCCTAACAAACTCTATCGACGCCTCGTGTCCTGAGAAATTGCGAATTCCTCTGTACCTCTCACGAGGTTCGTCAGGAGGAAAAGTTTTATCAGAGAATCGATGAGACGACGCGGGCGGAATTTTAACTAGAATTCGAAATGGCGAGGAATTTTCTCAAAGAATTTCTCGTTTACCAATTTCTATCTCCCTTTTCTCGCAGCCAACCAAGTCTCGACCGGTTGAGTTCCCGAGGACAAAGCACCGGTATTTTCTAGGTTAGTCGCTCGAGAAAACGGTAGCCCGATAACATGATGCCATTCCGGACGATAAATATACATACAGGTATTTACACATGCTATACATATAACGAATATACATAGATTGTATATAGGTAAATTACCTATATACAAGCAAAATAAACGCGCATGAAACGTATACACAGGTACAGCCTAGATTAAATCCGGTTCTCTACGAAATCCCAGAAATCACGGTACCCACCGATCCATGCAACGCTACGGTCAGCAATACTTTACACCTGTCACACTGCTTAAACCTAATTAGACATGACGGGCTTAATCTTGCGACGCTTAATGGGCTCGTTGAACGAAAATAGGTAACGATCTTCTCTTTCTCGTTTTGGATAATACGATCAAATGTTCTGAGAAATTTTGCAACGATCTCGTTTACCAATCGTCGAACTAATAATTTAACAACTGTTACCTTCTGTCGATACGAGATCGTCGTCGGCTCGTCTTCGTTAATTATCGGAGAAGTTCGTACATTGGAGCAATCAAGCGGCGCATCGCCGACTCGTTAGCGTTGAAATTACGTTTCAGTTAGCTAGTCGACTGTCTTAATGACTCGAACTTTGATGATCAAAGAAAAAGAAAAAGATTTCGAAGTGATCGTCTATAATCGTGTAACCATGTGAAAAAATATTAATGAAGTTGTATTATACAGAAAAATATTAAGTGCCAAACTTTGTCAATATATAATGAGCATAAAATGTTGTATATACATAATTCTGCGAACGTTAATAAAAATATGGAATTCGAAGGAACAGTAGCGGGCGTAGTTACTGCGATATAATGATGAAATATAGGTCAGAGATAATATTAATAATATAATAATGTTATAATGATTACAGATAGTACACAACTTACATAAAATTATATATAAATATTTCTTAACTGTCTCCTTTAAATTTTTGTTTATTTTTATTTAATAAAGCATTAAACAATTTATATTTAAGTCTCTAATTTATTATAACTCATTCGAAAATTTCAAAAAATATGAATTTATAAATTGATGCGTAAAGATCATATATAGGCCAATTTTAATTTTTTAAATGGAATTATATAATTTTTATTGCATTAATCGGTGCAATTAATTATTTCTTTATTTAAATTTTTAATTGAAGAGAATATTGTGTAAAAAAGAAAAAAGAGTATAAAACAGTAGAATAGCGCTTCGCGTATTTTTATTTTTCATATGATAGGTTTTTGAATTTTAAATTACAATATCTCCTAAATTAATGATCTTTCGACATAAATATAATACTATTTTTATAGTATTTTAATACTATAATACTATTGCATCAATTATAAAACGTATGATAAAAATTTGAAAAATTAAAATTCATCTTTATATAACCTACCAAAGGAGGTTATATAAACTAGTATTACATAATACATATTTTTATCTGAAACATTTTTTCGTATCGTTCATATTTTTCAAAATACTTGAATGAATTATCAATAAATTAGACATATTATATAAGATATATTATATATTTTATATTTTTATATATATTATATATATATACATATTATATATTTTTTAGACATACATTCACAAAATTTGGTATCTTAAACCGTATAAAATGAAATATTTGTCATACTTGTGTCTTAGCTTTGCAAAGTAGAGCTCATTCGATCTCTCGTAAAGTCAAAAAGAAGGGAGAAAAGGGGTTATAATCATGTTTTTCCGTGATTCGATCGCTTAATCGTCCAAGAGGTTGGCGGAGAATGGCGTGAAAAGAGAGGCCGTCGAGTAGTGGATAACGGGTGACGGGTGATGGGTGACGGGAAACGGGTTGAGGGATGGAGTAGGGACGGGTGACGAAAACGGAGGTTGGAAATATCGCGGGGATTAAAGCTGGAGCACGCTGTAGGGACTTTAAACAAAGGAGGGTCGTTAGAAACAAGTGGCGCCGATTAAAAACGCCGACGCCACTCGTTGCGATGCATCGACAAACACATCATGTTTTACTCCAACCTCGTTTCCCTTACTACTCGTTGTTTCGCGATACTTAAAACGTTTTGCCAATTATATATATCGTATACCTCGATGATTAATATTCAAAATAATACAAACGGCCCATACATCCGTATATATTATTGATAATAATAATATATTATGATAATAATTAATAATTATCATCGCGTAAGAGGATACCTCTTACGTCGAATTATATAAATTCCTTCTTCGATTCTATGAAAAGAAAAAAAAAAGAAAAAACAGGAAGGAAATGTGTCAATGGAGATACGAGAGCGAAGCGCGAGAGGAACGGTTGAAGGTACAAAAAAGTTGGAGAAGTGGCGGTGAAAAAGTGGAGATGGAAGGAAGTAGGACGAGGATGGAAAGAAACGAAGCGTCGTAAGGCCCTCTAAAATTGTCGATTCATAGCCGATCAAGGAGGATGCAGGTGGAAAAACTGGCCTTCCTTTGGCGGCATGGTATACATCCTGCGACCTACATCAACGAAAGCGAGGATACATTATTACTATCATCGGAAAGCAAAGCCCGATGGCGCGACGACCGCAGGGTGTTTCAGGGTCGGTTGCCATGGCAATGCACTGGGACAGCCACGGGGTGCAGCTTGGAATAACCACCCTCTTGCCTCTTTTCCGCGATTCACCCTGCTTTCCCAACATTCTCTCTCTCTTTCGTTCTCATTCGCTCGCTCGCTCTCTCTTCCACCCTCCTTCTTCCCTCCACTTCTC